ACAGGGGCAGACGTGGCCCGTCACCAGAGAGCAGCCCGCGCCCACCCCACGCACACAGCGCTGCCCCTGGGTCCCCATCCCCGTCTCCCCACCCCAGAGGACACCCCTAATTCCTGGTGCCTGCCCCTCGCACGCCCCCAGCCCAGCCCCTCGGCCCCTGCCCTACCTCACGTAGAGCGAGATGGGCACCACAGTGTTGAGGATGATGATGTAGGACCAGAAGGAGAGGAAGCCGGAGAAGAAGGCACTGTGCACCCCCTCGTCCCAGGGCAGGTAGATCTGGAAGCAGACGCCCACCTCGTGCTCCCAGATGGCGTTGCCGATGGCCAGAATCACCCCCATGCACACCAGGAACCCAAAGATCTGGGGACAGGAGGGGACATCAGAGCCCCAACCGGGCCAGAGCCGGGGCTCCCCGGGATTTCCCTTCCGCGTACCCAGAGCACCAGCGTGTTCATCAGCCGATCGATGCTCGTCCGCTTGAACTTGGTCCGGCCGCTGTTCTGCATCAGTTTTGTGTCGGGCCCTGGGGAGAGGGAAGGGCATCAGCAGGGTCCCTCCCCTCCCTCCCCTCCTGGCAGGGGCCGCAGCTGCCCCCAGCCCACCTGCGAAGATGACGAGGCCGAAGCACCACTCGGTGTTGCGCAGGACGCAGCCCCGCAGCAGCATGTTCTGGTTGCTCAGGGGGTACTTGTTCTCCTTCCAGTACAGCGTCCCACCAAACTTGTCCAGTTTGTTGTTCGGGGGTTCACAGATCACCTCGCCTGGGCGCAGGGGATGGTTTGGCTGTAACGTGCCTTCTCCACGTGGCCAGCTCCATCCCAGTGTTCCCAGCACCATTCCAGTGCTCCCAGCTCCATCCTAGTGTTCTCGGATCCATCCCAGCACTCCCAGCTCCATCCCAGCACCCGCAGCTCCATCCCAGCACTCCCAGCTCCATCCCAGCACTCCCAGCTCCATCCCAGTGCTCCCAGCTCCAGCCCAGCGCTCCCAGCTCCAGCCCAGCGCTCCCAGCTCAAAGCCCAGGGGTCCCAGCTCAATTCAGCACTCCCAGCTCCACCCCAGCACCCCCAGCTCCATCCCAGCGCTCCCAGCTCCATTCCAGTGCTCAGATCCATCCCAGTGCTCCCAGCTTCATCCCAGCGCTCCCAGCTTCATCCCAGCGCTCCCAGCTCCAGCCCCAGCTCCCCAGAGTTCTGCTTAAAGCCACAGGATCAGTGCGTGGATGGTCCTGGTCTCTCCAGGGTGGACCCCCACCAGGTGACGGAGGAAGAAACCCAGAGTCTGCCCCATCGTAGGGGACCAGTCGCAGGCACTCACCATCAAACCGAGCCAGCTTGCTGGTGTCACCCAGCTCCGAGGTGACGGGGATGGCCTGTCGCACCTTCATGTTGGTCTCTCTGCGGGCAAGAAGGGATCACCCGTGGGGTTGGAGACGGCCGGGCAGGGAGGGGCCTTCACAGATACTCCCCGATTTCAGGCCCCCGGCAGCTCCTGCCCATTCTCACTCCTCCCTCCTGCCTTCCTGCCAGGCGAGGCGGGCAGGGGGCACCTACCCGTCCAGCTCCGCCGTCTCTATGTAGCACAACCCATGGGGTTCGCTGCTGGAGAGGAGGAGGAGGTCAGCCTGCCGGGAGAGACAAGGAAGGGTTGTACTGACACCGGGGCTCCCTTACACCCTCCCCAGGGAAGCTCCTGGCTCTGCAGAGCCGTGTGTCCTCAGCGGGGTGCTGCCGGCACCCTGGGCCTGGACACCATCACCTGGAGCACCCACAGCAGCCAAATCCCCAGAGCTCAAACAACGGCTCAAACGCTACAACCTAAATCAGGTTGACCCAGCACTGGGGGATCTGGTGGAGTTGGGAACGGTCACGGTGAGGTTCATGGCTGGACAGGAGGATCTACAGAGTCTCTTCCAACTGAGATTTACAGAACCCCAGAACCATTCAGGTTGGAAAAGCCCCTCGGGATCAGCGAGTCCAACCCTCAGCCCGACTCTACAAAGCTCTCCCCTACCCCACATCCCCCCACAGCTCATCCCAACGGCCCTTAAACCCCCCCAGAGATGGGGACTCCCCCCTCCCTGGGCAGCCTGTTCCACTCTC